TTACCATGACGAATTGTCGAGGATGTCGGACAAAACTTTGGTGATCGATTGAAGTTTAGACCGTAAATCTACGTTTTCGATTTGGAATTCATACGGGGGTTACATCTTCGATTCATCTTATTGAGAAGATGTGAGATGTCGTATCAATCATCGTCGGATTAACGATTAAGATTCATTTAGTTAACAAATTACCTTAAAAGCTAATTTCACTAATACCCTTGTCTTTAGAGATGATAATATTGTCCCGCCTCGTCAGATCCCGCTCTACTTCGCCTGGCGAATGGGAAAATCTTGTCCTCCTGTTCGGAGGGGGTGGGGCCGAGGAAGAGGGACTAATCTTCCCCTCCCATGAGATGTGACTTAAGGTTGGGACTTTCGACAAAAGCGATTCTCAAATTTGCTTTTCATATCAAATATCCTCTTCACATTTCAAAACCTACATTTTACGTCTCCTCGAACTAAAAAAACTCATTAGCATTCATACACACCTAAATTACTATCCCACTCTCTTCCCCGTTCTTTCTCTCTCCTCATAGAAAGAAGCACAACACAGGAAAGATCAAGAGCCACCCTCATAGTTTTAAGCTGCCCGCACGTATTGATTCTCAACAAATTTAACACGTGCGTACCGAATGGATAACAAGGGGAGGAAATGCGATCTCTACGAACGTATTATGAATGAGTAGACTAGAAAATTCGAGCATTTGAATTTCTAAATCATGGACCCGTTTAACAACTGAAGCTTTTAGAGTCGACGGCTATATCGCGAAATTCTACAAAAGGTCCGATGCGCGACACCCTCGTGAGGCTCCCCGATTTACCTTTCAAATTAGAATTTCATTTATAACGTAAGTTTTTAAGCAACGGTGGAAACGTCTGCGAATCTCACGACCATGTACCGAGTCGAAGTGCGCCTCGAAAAGCTTTTGAGTCTCTCGATTCCCTTTGCCTGGCTAAATCCAAAGATCAAACCAGAGAAAACGTTTAAGTCTTCTTTGCGAATGCTCTAGTTTCCACGTGAATGGACGGTTTGCACGTATGCTAACTTTCTGCCTTTGGTTTTTTTATTCAGTGAAGCAGCTCACGGGACAGAGCCACGCTGTTGCTGTGCCGGGTGTGCCTGGAGCTGCCGTTTTCTGGCTGAGAACCCACCTTGGACCGTCAAGGAATGACACCGTTCGCTCGCTCCCTCGCCTAAACCCACCGTCACTCACTCCCCTCAGGCCCCTCTCCCATCTCTCTCTCTCTCTCATTCCCTCTGACACTGCTTATCGCAAAGGCTTTTCTGATACACCGAACTGTAGATAGCACCGTGTCTGCTGCATCTATCTGTCGTTGGAGGGCTTCCTCTGCTTGATTTCTCATCTGGGTCCTCATTTTTAACGAAGGATCGTCTCGCTGCTCTCGCAATCTGCCAGGTACTTCTGTGATGGGGCTAAATTTTCCGTCTTTTTCTTGTCTTTCTAGCGACTGAACGTGTCTTGTGCTGTTGTGCTGCTTTGCCTTTCGTGCTCGATTCGTTCATTGTGTTCGTACTGTAGAAGGGTAATTGTCGCCTTCTTGTTGTTGGATTTAAGGAGATGATTAATCAGTTAGTTGTTCTCGGTTGTTTCTTTCTTCTGTTCTTTTTTTGAGGATCTGTAGTTTTTTTGTTTTGTGGGTCAAAGAGGATCTGTAGTTAGAATGCAAGTACATTGGAAGACGCTGTTTCTGCTGTGGAGGATCTTTGAAATTTCCCAACTTTTGTGTTTTGGGTGTCTTGTGCTCTGCTTACTGCTCATTCTTTAGCTCTGTTTGTTCTTTCTCGAGGTCGAACTTTTTGCTATCTGAGTTGTGCCGACTGTATCAGTAAATGGTTTTTGTTCGATCGTTCGAGTCTCTCTTGTTGGTGCCTAAAATGAGATGGGAATTTGTCCTGTATCTTGGTGGTTGGTTTAGTCTTAAGTGCTTTTGTTGCTTTGAGCAGCCCATCTCTCATTCCAGGTTCAAGTGCAGATAGTCTGGGCTTTGTGCTTGGGGACAATTGCAATATATCAAAAAACACTCTCTGTGTCTGCTGGGTTTCTGATCGGATCCAATATTTGCTGATACACTCAAAAGTGATGAATTCGAATCTTTTGCTTGCAGTTCACTTCATGTCAATTTTAGAATCCATGTTTGGATCTACCCAGCACGAGAGTTCTACAATTAATGACACCCACATGAGTTATCTGCCATAACCATACCTTTGCTTTGTGTTCTTGCCGGTTCTAAACTATGGTTTAATAAAGTGATTTAGGCTTATGTCTTCCTTTAGTTTCAGTATTTCATTAGTATCTACTTCTGCTATAGTTAGTATATCTTGGATTTCATGTTCCCTGACTAGTGCTATCGGGAAGCACCTAGCCGAATCAACTAGGTACATCCAGCGGAGCTGATTGGATGATATACTTGCAAGTGTTGAATGCTAGGTTTGCTGATAATTCACTGTAATATTGTTACCACGCCCATGTGTAGATCTCCCTATCAAGGCAGTTGTACCATTTGCAAAGTCAAATATACAATGAGTCAATGTTCCCTCAAAGTTTGTATTAAGAATTCAATATTGACTAGTCTCTCGTCTAACTTAAATCTTTCTTTTGGCTCTTGGTAATCATCTGCAGTTCAAGCTTATCCTTGTTGCTGGCATTCTCAGTGTCATGACTATTCTGAGACAGTCACCTAGTAGAAACCAAAGGACAAAAGGCTTCAAAGTGAAACACGCCATCCAGATTTTCCTTCTTCTCGCCATTTGTATATGGTTGCTTTACCAAGTCAAGCATTCGCATGAAAAGAAGAAGCTACTTGCGGAAACAACTGCTGCAGAGTTATCAAAAGATGTGGAAACAATGCATGAGATAATAAAACTGGGGAGAAAGGATCTAAAACCACAAGACAAGAATGCTGACCCAGGAGATGATAGGCAAGAAGAAGAAAAAGAAGATGATACAGAAGAAACCAAACTTGACGAAACCGAGATGGAAGAAAGGGGAGCAGGTGATGATGAAATAGATGGAAATGAGCAAGAGAGAGATGAAGAGGATAATCCTGAGGAGATCGAAGACTTGATCGATGAAGAGGACCGGATAAAGGAAGATGGGGTTGCAGAGGAAGAGAGCGATGAAAAGGAAAATCAGATCGAGGACGCTGGTACCCTTGAGGAGCGCATGGAAAGTGAAGGTGATGAAATCTCCCAGGATGCAAGGGAGGAACACTACAAGGGTGACGACGCATCCAGTGCTGTGTTGCAGGATGTCGGGGCGAAAACTGAAGATTTTCAAGCTGGAGGCTTGAGAAAAGTGAAGGAGCAATCAGGACGAGGAGACATTTCACATCAGTCGGAGGAGGTTAGGATGGCTGCTGAAGATGGGGATTTGACTTCTCAAGGTAGAGGAAGTGATAGATCAAACCGGGACAAATTTAACATCGACTCAAAATCTAATCCATCAAACAGGGAGAGGACAAATGAAGGAGCAGACATGAATGAGAGTTCGGTTCTGGAGCTTCCAAGAGTCCTGGATTGGGTGCATGATCACAATGTGAATGAGGCTATTTCAACTTCCGGGTCAGCTTATGGCAAAAATGACGAGGACGGTACCAAGGACTCTATGTGATGAAAAGGCCAAGCAAAAGCTTAGCTTCTTCTTCAAGAAACGGTACTCTAAGTCCAGCATAAGATTATTCCCTGTGTTTACGTATAGTAGAGAAGATAGAGACTAGAGGGAATCGCGCAGTTCTAGAACTGTCAGATGCATTGGCATCCAAAATAACAGTGAGATGCTGCGGAATGACTGTTCAGACAAATCTGTCTTGAGTTTACCCTTTTTGTTTCCTTTTATATAGGAGCAAGTTGCTTGTCCTAACTTCCTGGAATACCATCTGTCAAATGCAGATGGGCAACTGTACATATACATCCAGTGATTAGGAGTTGCAAAGTCTATTATCATAGATGTGTGTTAAACTCAGATGTAGACATGGCCAAATGATGTAAGACTTGGAAAATTAAGTGGTTCCAGTATGTGTAGTATGCATTCTCGAGTCGCTGAAGCGTGTAATTGCAAATTTATGCACCTATGAATAGCTTGCCAACTTTTGCTCAAGCTACTGTGTCTAATTAGAGCATGTTACTGGAGGATTGGGATTCCATAGCTTCTGCACAAGGATGAATTTGAAGAATTGTTTAAAGAAGACAGCAACAGGGTAGCAAGACAGGTGGGGACGAAGTTCGGAATAGGTTATCAGTAGACAATGATAGATGATGGTTTTATCGAATCTTTTTTATCGAATCTTTTGTTTTAGGTGATCTCAATGTTTTGATACCTAATTGAATCAAATAAATAATCAAAAAGCCTCATATTTTGAAAACAAGCTTGTCTAGGAAAGCAGTTAAAGAATCTTTTCATAAAGGATAGTCTATGTGGGGAATCTTCTCGGTGAAAATGGCTGGAAAAAACTGTTGATAACATTCCCAAAACAAAAACGACGCCGAAGCACCAAGAAATTCTGTGATAAAAGTGCAGCGAGCGGCCAAAACCATCAGGATCGAATTCCTGCAGTGAAAACCTCATTTACGAAAGATGAAAGAAGAAACTGCCGTTTCGCCCCAAGTGAGAAGGCCAGGGAGTCACTCCAGAGACATTGGGAGAAAATGAAAGTACAACAAGCCAATCTTACTGCAGCGAGGCAATGTCCGTGCTCAAATGCATGGCAAGAAGAGGTTCCCATATTGATGCATGGGACTGACTGTTAGCGGACCATTGTAATGACCCACACTGATCTTAGAGAAAATTTCGAGAAGTTCCCGGGAATGGCGAAATCTCAGGTGAAGGGGCTTTAGAGCTTCACTCTGAGGAAATCCTAAAGCAAAGGTTGCCTTACTCGCTGGTGTCAGTGTAATTTGATCATTAAGAAACTTCAGGCCCATTAGAATTCCTATCCTCCTTTTATTTCTAGGCAAGGAGAGCATGGAGACATGGACAGGGTTATAAATCACATAGTACATTTGCCAAATATTCTGGCGAAAAAAAAATATCCAGGGATAGGGTCAACCACGAGAGAGACTTTAAATTCCAGAACATATTGAAGATTGCTCATCATGAAAAAATCGACATTTGGGAATGTGGAAGTCCATAGCAACACATCCTAACACCCATTGCATCCCAGAATACTCCTCAAGCTTGACTCCAAATGAAAGCAGCATATCGGCAGGTCAAGAATCGGCGCCTGATCCACAAAAGGTTGAAGAGTTGAGAATACCCTTCTCGTCAGCTCCAAGAGCAACCAGCATTGATGGCTTCCAACATTTAAGACTGCTTAATAGGAACCCTTTGATGAGAATTCCACTGCAACAGCATCCATACTATGGATGTTCCTGAATTAAGACCAAAAAACGAGGAAGTAAATCAAGATACTGTTATAAACAATTGATTCCACAACTTGGAAGACGGAGTGATTGCTCATCTTTCAGAAATAACACAATAAGGAGCATGAAACAAGGAGCATGAAACCTCAAACCCCTCTATTTATAGGATACGTCTCCTCATCAAGGAGCGTGAAACAACAAATTCTTTCCGCAGTCAAGATCAACTAGAGAAATCCAATGGGATGACGAGATATTCAGGATCCTTAAATAATCTTGCTAGCTATGTTAGTACTTCAAGTGGACTCAAGGTGTAAAAACTATGCAAGTAAAAGTCAACCCCTGCTCCCAATGGAAGATGAATCCATTCGAGCATTAACTTAAGAGTAAAGAAAAGAACACCAAGTTTTTTCCAGTCCAATGTAATGGATGACCAGAAGGAATTGATACAAGAAAAGTTCCACAATCTATACTTTACCTGCAAAGATGCCAACCGTTGTCAGGTTTCCGATAGCCATTGTTTGATATATAAGGTATTCAGTCAAGAAGTGACCAAATGCATAGATAAATGACAAGAAGGTAGCCAAGTATAAGGGTTTGTTGTCAAGGTTGAATGCACAAAGAAAGCAGAGAGTGCATGTCAAGAGGGTCCAAACTCCAAATGTCCTTCCATGAACTTCAGTCACTGTGAAAATTCCACAACAAGGAGAACAGAGGAAGAGGAGTTCATTAGGATTTTGCATAGAACTTCACAAGACAGATGGAAGCGAAACAAATTGATAGTGATTGTGGGAAACAGAGAGGTAAATTTGAATTTGATACAACAACACAAATAATCATAGTCAGCCCCTAAAGATCAAAATAAACGCTAAGCCTTTAGTCACTAAATAGAGGAAAGTTACTCAGCCTGAGATAGTTATACACCAATCTCAACGGTTGCATGTGCTACAAGTGCTATCTGTCTGTATTAATGACAAGAGGTAAGTATTCTAGGCGATGATGGCGTGGCCTTCATGCCAATTAATCAGCAGACTTTCTCAGTAAAAATAAGCCTCAACAACATATTTCTATGGAGCTATCCTCACTAACCAGAGGAGAACAAGTCAATAAACTGTTGCATATGTTTTCTTGTGGAAAATTTTTCATCATAAGGATCACCAGCAAGCCCAGGACAGCTAAATAAGATATTTCAGAGGTCAACTAATTAAACCAATTGTGTGTCCTCGTGGCAATCTAGTAGGCCACTGGCACTGCTAGGGCAGCTGTCTTTCCAACCATACATCATGTCAACTAATATATAACAAAAGATCACCCTCGAATTCTCAAGAGGAGATGTTACCACGACATGCTGGAAAAGAATGACAACTGCATCGTTCTACATAATCAGTGCCTTCTGAAACTAGTAATCCACAATCGTTAATACTGCATCGTTCTGCATAATCCTTTGCCTTATAAAACTAGTAATCTACGATCGTTAATACTTCCATCTACAGAGATACATTGCTAATCAGAGGTGTTATTTATCAAAGCATAGCCTAGGCGGAAGGACGCACAAATGGTTGGTCAACCTTTTCTTCTTCATTATCAAATCATTTTCCCTTTTATGTTCCATGTTAGAATACAGGTAGAACTACATAAAGAACGTAATCTCCACGGGTTGCTGATAAATGTCCTTCCTCGATGAATATACAGCAAATTTCTACCTTTTTGTCATCCTTTCAATGGGAACACAACATAATGTCCAGAAACGCTCAGTCTCAAATCCTCCACATCACTAGCTTCACATTCAGCAATCAGGGCAGACGTCAACTAGGCTAGCTATTCGAATTCTCTCTTCATCTAAGTTTTCTAGCCTCAAATTGCAAAGTGATCTCCATTATCTCACTTCCTTCAGCATGAAGGATCCTAAAGCCAAGACAGACTCTATATTCGCCGAATCACAAGTTCCTAAAAAGTCACCGAACTGGGGATCCGCTCCACCACTACCATCGAAACAACCCGAATATCTGAGCACAGCCCACCGCACTCGCACCCACCAAAAACCCAATTCACAAGTCAACAGTCGTAGCAAATGGAGCCACCACCAGCATGCATTCGCGAAACCCGGCACAGAGAGATCTCTTGGGGACAAGCCCATAACTTCTCTACACCCAATTCATTCGACCCAAAAAAGCGGGGCCGTTGTTGGCCTCGGAGGGAGCAGCAATCTCGATTCAAGCGAACGAGACATCAAAGCCGAGCAAAAAGATGCATCGGATCCACAGAGAGAGAGGGGGAGAGAGAGAGCAGACTTGTGGTGTTGGAGAAGACGGCGAGGCGGAGAGCCCAGATGTCGAAGAAGCCGAACCAGACGGAGGCCAACCGGAGGGAGCCCAGCAGCATCAGCCACCACCCCAACGGCTTCATCTTCTTCTTCTTCTTCCCCTCGCTTCGGATTTTCCGATCGCCGGAGATATCTTCACCTTGGTGTTTTCCGACCACCTTAAACACCGAATCATGTGCGGAGACCGCCTGTTATAACCAGCTCGAGTGACCGAGTTGAGAAAATAAAATTATTCCCTTATGTCTTTAATTAGATTTAGGATAGTATCATAAAATAAATGCATGAATGCACGTGGAAGATGGATGATTCGGAAGATATATTCTTAAAAATAATCGATTGTATTGTTTGTAAAAATGAACGGACAAAAAAAAATTGAATTATTTACGAAAATATTTAAACATGAATTTTTGTCGATAACGAATAAAAATCGGAGCGATGTAATCGATTATTTTTATGAAAATAGTTTCTAAATTATTTATTTTTCACGGAACAAATGGAGCGCCGTAATGTTATTTTGATTTCTTGTCAAAAATCATGAGGTTGTACAAAATCTTAGTATTAGACACGATGCTTTTATTAAACCTTTAAAATTTAAGTACTCTTGTCATGGTATTTGAACATTTGTCGTTATACAATTGATGTAAATTCATCATTGCATTTTGTTCAGATTCTATTATTATAATACAGAATTACTCACACTTTTTAGGAAAATGATAATATACATCTGCCCATATCTCGTATCTCACATTCTGTAATTCTCGTCCCGAATATTATTAATAGAGCCTCGAGCGTAAGTGTGCAATCCACTCCGATTTAGTTATACACATCATCAAACTCGAGCTTAACTAAACTCGTACCATCGATGCTCACAACTGACTTGAGTTCCGTCGAATGTTATGTCCGTGCTCGAGCTTGACCCCAGTAGTAATCGAGAAACTAGAGTTCCGCTCAAATAAGCTCGATTATACATATATCAAAGCGGAATTCATAATTGGGAGATCTTCGATTCTTAAAAACGATTTTTTTTTCAAGAAAACATAAAAGGACTAGATAAAGATCGCAACCTAATAGCTCGAATTCAACTCAACAAACTCTTTCAAGTAGCTCGAAACGAGCCGAGCCAATCTCAAGTATTCATCAAATTGAGCACGTGTCGCGAGTAGCTCCTAACTCTTCTTAGCCCTAGACGCGCTCTTTCGTGTTAATTTGATGATAATTGTAGGAACAAAATGTTGTAGAGTTCACACTTGTGAATTTGAAACACCTCTTTCTTAATTTGCATGTATTTACCATCTCATCTTATTGCCAAATCTAAATACACGCCAATGATTCGTGCAATGGGAATGGGGAACAACTGGGTGATGGGTGAGAAAATGGATAAAGATCAAAATTTTAAAAGATTCTCTTCCATCTCTAAACTTTCCCCCTCACCTCCTTTCTAAAACTAAGCCTTAGAGATAATAATAGATTGAGATAAATTGAATTCACGGCAATTTTCACTTCACAAGATTATTATCGAAACTTGAATTTTGCGTTACGAAATGCCTTCGGGTTCAATTTGAAAAATTATATATAGAATTATAGATTAATGAGAAATTTCATCGATGAATCTATTTTTTAGTCTACGGACCCAAAAAAATAAAGAAAAGAAAAGAAATCCATTTGAGTCTTAACTAATCATATCGGTAGACTACAAGATGTTCGTTTAGATAGATTACTCGAATTATATCCCTTGAAAAAAGAAAGAAGGAAGAAAAATAGGGGTTGCGCCCACGTGCTGCAGGCTGTACGTCAGATCGAACGGGCACGTGCCCCCCCCCCCCCCCTTCTCGTCAGTCTCGTCAGCCATGACCCGCCGCGCTGGATCCTTGACCATGATGGACGGGCCGGATTCCTCTCCTTCATTCACAGGACAAAATGCAAATTGCGATAGTAACGAAACATAACTGCCAAAAGAATAAAATAAATAAATAAATAAAGTACATAAAAGGGTCGGGATACATTCGGTCGTGGCCGGACAAAATACGAAATACAGGACCGGACCGATTCGAACCGAAGATTCCCAGTCTCTTCGAGTCAAGTCTCATTCGATTCCGGTAATAAGACATAGAAATGAGGTATTTTGACGGTTCAATCCAAGTTTTGGTTCGAGCCATTAGAATACATATACACAAAGATATATATACCATTTGGGTTCGGGTTATTTCATGTGTAAGGTGGAAACCAAACCGAATCGGCCCATCGACACACGCTCCTACACGGCCGACCCCCCCTAATGTCAGCAGGAATTGACACAAAAATATATGAAATGAGAAAGTGGTTGGGGGACCACAGGCCGGTCTCGAAGCCCCGTGACCACGCTCGCCCCACAGAGACCTTTCGCCAAGTTGCCATTTTGCAGTCCACGCCCCCCTCCTCCCCTCCCCTCTTGTCCCTCCTCTTGCTCTCCTTCAATCAATGTTTTCTATATGCGGGCTCTCAATTCAGTCATGCACATCACCAAAAGCGCACCCGATCCAACGACCCCAGCGCCCCCACACCCCTCTCTTTTTCCCCGTGCTTTTTCCCCATGTACTACGAGCTCGCGCGAATCGTACTGAACACCGCCCCAGAAACATATGTTCAAGTCTTGTCAAACTTTCTCGTCGTTACTAATGTCGAAAGGAAAACCTTGCCCCCGCGATTTGCCCGGGGGGAGCCTCCGATGCACGAAATCCACCCCCCTCCGCCCCCCCACCCGCTCGCAATACAAGCCGATCCCTCGGGGGGGGGGGGCTATAAAGTCAAAACGATTCAAAAAAATTTTGGTGAATGAGGACAAAAATTGCCAACTAGCACTAGCCAATGGCAGCAACTCCCACGCCACTTCTTTCATGCCTTACAGCTCATATCACCACCCCCCATCGAATCTTTTTTAATCAAATCAAAAATCTAATCTTCCTCCCAAAGTTCAAACTAAACCCTCGAGATTTACTCGAATAAAATAAGCAGGACGGAATCCGCAGTCACAAGTCAACCATTTCCTCCAATTTAGCCACGAAAGTAAAAAACGAACCAAAGGAAAAAAAAGAAAAAAGGATTACAGCTCCCCCCTTCCAAAAAGGAGAAAACGGGAAGGTTAAAAAAAACGGGAAAAATTCACACAAGCCACACCCTGAAAAAGTAGTAAGACCCAGAGACTTGCCTGATCGACCCCCCCTCTCTCACCCACAACTGTACACAAATCCAAGAGAATTTTTTAGCAGTAAAAACTTGCTAAAATACCCCCCCCCCCTACCTAAAATCGAGTCCCAAAATCACGTCAAATTATCGTCGTTAAAAAAAAAAAAAGAGGGGGTAAAAAATGGAAGCGACGTTCTCAACCGGACATGGCCCCCGCCCCCCGCCCGTCCCCCAACGCTAAAACGACGACGAGGAGTCGACGGTCTGGCACAGCTCCTTCCTCAGCCGCTGCGTGAACAGCCTGCACGCGTCCATGCTCAGGTCCACCGCGGCCGCCAGCGCCACGAAGGCCGCCGCGTCCTCCGTGCACCCCACCTGCTGCACGCTCACCTCCACCGTCGGCTTGCTGCACTTCCCTTCCCCCTCCACCCCGGCCGCCATCACGAACCCCCTGTACGCGCAGTAGGGCCACAGGCTGTGCCCGAAGTCCCCGCTGCTCCGGGGGCTGCACGCCGGCGACCCCGCGCTCCCCGGCGTCGCCCGCCCGTTGTTCCCGCCCGAGCCGTTGCCGTTGCCGTTGCCGTTGCCACCGCCGTTCCCGCCCAGGTCGATCAGGAACCTGCCGCCGCTCCTCGAGCTCAGGGTCGTCTCCGAGACGACCACGCCGGCGCCGGCCGAGTCGGGGATGATCTCGAAGCGGCAGCCGAGGCTGTCGGAGGCGCCGCGCTCGCGCCAGGCCTCGAGGCGGCCCCAGGGCTTCCACGTGCCGTCGCCCGGCCGGAGGATGAGCCACGAGCCGGGGTTGGAGCGGCTGACCCGGTCGGAGCCCGGGGAGGCGACGAAGGGGGTGACCATGGATGCGGCGGCCACGGGGGAGCCGGACAGGTCGTGGACCGTGATGGACCAGCCTTTGCGTTCTTTGACGGGCCTCTCTCGCTCGCTGCCGAACGAGCTCAACCAGCTTCTCGAGCAGCTCGGCTCCAGTGGAAGTGATCTGCGCGCGCCAACAACAATCCAGCACTTCAATTTAAAGCAAAAAAAAACTTACTCAAAATAGCTACAGACTTCGATCGCTACAGAGACCCAAAGAAGGAGGAGGAGTTACTGTTCGACCCTCTGCAAACATTTGCTTAATACTACTATAATAGTAACAAGGGTACTGTCAAAAGGGAAGGAAAAGGGTACTGTGGCAGACAGAGACGGACGTGGTTGTAAGCAAAGTGAAAAGGAAGACTTCAATGGCGGGATCTAATCATCTCCACTTTCGTAACGTGACGAAGGAGACACTCTTCGGAAATACTCAAATGGATTATACAGCTGCTTCCTTCAATGTCGTGTTTCATGAACAAGAGTAAAGCGATGAACACAGTGACTAAAACTAAAAGCGTTCTTCGCAACAGTGATGATGCCAATGAGCTTTTTAACTCAACCGGGAACTGTTCAAAATTTGAGCGCAGCACCGGCGCTTAAAAGGTGAATTTTCGAAGGGTGAAAAAGGAAGAAAGGGGAAAATGAAAATAGAGGAAGTCGCCGGAACCCTAGGAGGGAGAAACGGAGACGGAGACCTCGATCGCTGAGCGTGGTGGTCGCCATTGTTGGACCTGAAGCTGAACTTGCAGGTGAAGACGGGCTGCCGGATGTTGCCCTGTATCTGGAACACCTGGGGGCTGCACTCGGGCTCCCCGTCGAACTGGAACACGAAGCGAGGGTCGGGCTCGGCCCTGACGTTCAAGTGGAACTGAGCCGAGGACGACCCCTTCGTCCCCTTGCCCACGTTGATCCACCCGCTGTGGAACACGCAGGCCCTGGACTCGGCGCCGGCGAGGTCCAGGGGCACGGAGACCTTCCCGAGCAGCCTCCCGGAGCTGACCCCGCAGGTCGCCCCGCGCCGGCCCGTGTAAACGGAGACCTTGAGGCAGACCTTGCCGGAGAAGATGGACTTCCCGGCGAGCCTGTCGAGGTCGGACTTGCTGAGGTGGAAGGTGGCGCCGCCCCCGCCGACGGCACCGGGGGTAGGGGGGGAGGAGGCGCCGTCGTGGGGGGAGTCGGGGGGGAGGTAGGGGACGAGGGAGGTCTGGAGGGGGAAGGTGTTGAGCTTGATCTTGCAGAAGCAAGGGGAGGAAGAGGGGTGGACGGCGGAGCGGGCGGGCTTGGCGGCGACGGGGATCTTGAGGGCGAGGCTGCCCACCGTGAGGCGCACGAAGGGGCAGGGATCCATCGGCGCTCGAGGTGGTCGGAGGAGGAGGAGGAGAAAAGATGGTGGTGGTGGTCAGGCGGAGGAGAGATGAGCTGGGAATGGCATTGCTGCTGCTGTGCCGTGTGTGCTCTGCTGCTGCTGCTGCTGCTGCTGCTGCTGGTGGTCAGAGAGGAGGTGGAGGTGGAGGTGGTGGTGGTGGTGGGTTCTCTCTCTCTCTCTCTCTAGCGGGTGGGGGTGTTTCTCTAACTAACCAGAAGGGAGGAGAGAGAAAGAGAGGGGAAGAGGTGGTTGTGGCTTTGGAGGAGGGAGGAGGGAGGAGGGAGTACTGGAGAACAGCTGGGTACAGGCTGGAAGTGAGCCAGCGTGACGGCATCATCTCTCTCTCTCTCTCTCTTTCTCTCTCTTCTGATCATCCTCTGATCAGGAGAGAGAGAACGAGAGAGAGAGAGTGTGTGCGTGCGTGTTTTGTGCGTGGAGGCTTTTTTTCTTCTTTCTTTTTTTAGCTTTCCTTTTTTATAAAAGAAATTCCAATAAATGAATCGGAAATTTTGCTTTTTTTTTTATTTGTCTTGTATAGTTTACCGAGATTTTGATTCGTAATTCGGGAAAAAAAAAAAAAGCCACCAAGCAAATCGCAAATTATACTCATCGTAACATATTTATCATAAATTAACTTATACTCGGGGTATATATATCACCTGAGTACAAATTTTGAGTAAATATATTACATCATACAAGTTTGAGATAGATGCGTCGTATTGATACGAATTTAGGATTTTTTTTGTCATAAAAAAAAACAGTTTGGGGGTAAATATTAGGGTTTTTTTTAATGTTTTCTCCTTGTAATTTTTCATTTTTCATTTTCGCCAATTTCGGTTTTTTCTTCTTCTTTTTTTTTTGGGGGGGGGAGGGGGGGGTTGGGTTTCGAGGGATAATGGCCGGCACACGTTGAACGGGCAGGGCACACGTGGGAATGACGGGGGCGCTGGGGTCCTTACGGAAGCATATCGTGCCTCTGGAATTCCGCTTTCATGATTGTTCTATCGAAAGTAAAGGTTAATTCATTTATTGATATACAATAAGCACGAATTGAAAGCTCTTGCGTACCGTTCGTGTCAAACATACCAACCAAATTCATTTCCGATAATCGAAAGTAACTCATGCGCCGTATCAAGCACATTTTTTAAGATTTGTTCGACAGGAAATTCGTATAAGCTCCGTATTTTTTTTACATTATATATATATATATTTTTCGATTGCTAGATAAGGGGCGGTGCGCAAAGTCCATTTCGAATAAAAAGACTTATTGGATTGGCGACGAGGACGAGGAAGTTTCCGGATGATACAAAATCGCGATATCCGCTAACAAGAGGAGGAAGAACAAGGGGGAAATGCGATTTTTTTTTGTTTTATTGGGTGTTTAGATATAGGACTACCATGCGCGTCTCTTTTTTCGAAAAAAAATAAATAGAACTTGAAAAATCAGCTACAGGAATTAAAAAAGAAGAAGAATAAGAAATACACCCGGAAACGCAGTGCCTCGGAGCCGGATCACGTTCGCGAGGCGTCTGTACGGAAGTTAAGGAATATATACGTGAGGAGACCGTATCGTTGGCTCTACGTGCCTTTATGACTGATTAAGTTTAATGTGTCAATTGAGGATGCATTGCATTTCAACCCCCAAGGTTTTGGCACTTGTTACGAAGCGCCCCGGCTTTTCGATTTTTGCAATGTGGCCCCGGTGAGGGAATCCGTTTTCGACGATAAGAGTTAATTGCATTTTTACCGCTCGAGTTTTGGCACCTGGTGCAAGTTGCTCCATGACTTTTTTTGTCTTTTTTTTTTTTTTAAATATTTGCGGTTTCCCCTCTAAAATCTTGAAATCGATTGTAATGTCTATCGGCCTAATTCAAAAAAAAAAACACCAACTTTACCTTGAGTGATAATGTGGTCTGAATTTTTTTTGTTTCATAAAAAAATCACAAACTTTCACTTAAATCTCAAATATGGCCCGAACAATTTGAAAAAATTCCCATCACGGGGGCCAGATCTGGGACTCGAGTAAAAGTCGATGCTTTTTATTGAGACAAAAAAGAGTTCGGGCCAGAATTGTCATATCACTCAAGGTAAAATTGGTGTTTTTTCTTTCTTTCTAATCAGCCGATGTCTTATCCCCCTTAGTGTTGATTCGGGGCAATTTTCATAAAGAGGCCTATTTTCTTGATAATGTTTCGGATCTAGTGCATACTTTGAAAGACAATCAGTCAAAAAATACCAACTTTGTTGTTCAATTTGGATGGCCTCGAAACTATGTCCAAACTCTCAAAGGTGTCATTTAATCTACCAAAATTTGTGATTTTGTACATCATTTTATTTTTTAAATGACCTCTTAGACCTAGTAGTATATAGGGCAAGACATGTACCACGAGAAGACACATTGCAATCTTTAGAAAATATTAGCACAAAAAAAAAACGATACGAGTATCAAATGCTGATATGGCATGACGATGTGTTAACTTCTGTTGCTAAAAGTACCAAATCATCATAGATAATTTACTTCCAAGAGTTCTCGTGTTAGCAAAATGTACAAAAATTCAGAAGAAGCAATCTTATAGTCTCTACAACTAATAAAATAGAAAATAAATATTTAATCATGTATATATGTATATAGAGACGAGCGGTCTACCATGTCGCTCGGCCACAGCCACTAGCATGTACCAAGTGAGGGCACGATGAGCCCCATTTACCTAGCCTAAGTAGATCCCTGGTGGAGATTGGATCAAAAGATTAGTCACGATCAACGTCGAGGAGGCTTTGAAAAAAATTAAAAAAGTTAGGGCACAACGTACCTCTTGTGCCCAAATCTGAGAGGCAAAATGCAATTTTGACATGTGTTGTTTGACGGATTTGTCCTACTCGAGAGAGCAAATTAGTCACGTGGCAAACACACGGCTATAGGGATAACCTAAGCTGATTCTAGGAATCGATGACTTTAGGGAGGAGCACATTGCAACCGGAATCGATGACTTTAGGGAGACATTGCAAAAAAACAAAAAAAGTCATGCACGAGTCATTGTTTACATGTACGACCGGATAACCTAAGCTGATTCTAATTAAAATCGATTTTCGACAACTGCATCGCAAGGCCAATTTCAAAATTATGACAAATTTGGAACCTTAACCTAAAACCTAGCGTGCCGGTTTAACCTTAAAAAAGAAGTAATTTACATTACGGAAGAAAATCTTCAGATCTATTTCTTTTTTGGGTCGAAATCTTCAGATCTCATGTGGGCGTAAATGCACAATCGCTCATGAAGCAAAAGAGTAAATGTTAAAGATTGAAGTCAATGATATGGCCAGTTAGCAGCAAAGGCTTTTAGGTCTCCAGTGAAAGATGGAGAGCTGCTGCTCCTGCTGGTCCAATTCTGTGTTTTGATGGTCCAGGGGCGACGCAGAAACCACTGGACCCATTTGCATTAGCTGGGTAGGAGCAGTTAAGGCGGGCTTTGAATTACTGGCAAATGGACCTGCGAATTTACGTGCTTCGGCTTATATGACATTCATTAAAAACATCGATCGAGATTATCACCTTCTCTCTCGAACCCTAGTATCCAATTACATCCGGCCTCATCGCAGGTTTCGGCGAACCCAATGGGAAGATTGGTAAAGAGAAGAGGCGTTCAAAAAAAGTAGCCTAAAACTCCCGGTAACTGAATCCGATTCACCGAAAATTCCTTACTATCAGGCAAAAGCCCGGCGGAATATGGAGAACCGTATGCGCAGTCGAGTCGAATGAACAAGTCCTATATGGATGGGTTAAGTGACTTGCAACCCAATTCCACAGCTCCTAAGGTTGGTTGGCCCTTTGGACCTGGCATGTGTGCTCTTACAAAATCTTGGCCTCACTCACCTTAATGATGCCCAACGACTTGGCACAGTTCCAGTCACAAACATTCAGCCTGAGAAATCCCCCTCTTCTCATCTCGGGTCACGGTCTAACGCGACGTGAACGACGATACGCTTGATCACGAAGCTAACAGTGGATGGATCATGAAGCCACCGAACTCGAAATTCGTACTCATCATCAAACATTCTCACTACAGCTGATGCAGGAGTATTCAGAGTCACAAGATAAACATGCCATGCACTTTAATCTGGTCAGTGCCATCGTGATGATCTGTGCCCTTCCACTTCCAGCATCTATCTGTAGAGAAGATGTACTAGAGCAAGCCACAATCATCCAAAAGATAAAAATGGAGTCCGGCACTACCTATTACAACACCTGACACAAGCATGCAACCTTTTCCGACAACTGACCAGCACGGGCGCGCAAGTCTCATTGCTCATACTTTCACATTGCCACTCACAGGCATCCCACACAACTTCGTTTCCATACATTCTTGTCCAGTGATAACCTGAACATTAAACTCATTCAAGATTGAGACACGTATGGCAAACATGGACGATCTATCGAGGTGACGATCATTAACCATCCAACAGAGAAGTCAAATGACATCTACTCCATCCTGGCCAAAAATGAACATCCTACTCAAAATATAACACCGAAGGCAGAACCCCACATAGATATAGAATTAATCCAGCTTGCCAAAAATTAACAATCGCAAAATACCGCATCGAATTCAGAGTGATAATTTTGACAAGAAGTATCCATTGGACACCGGATAAAGGAGAGAAAAAAAGAGCAACTTCTTATTCATTTCTAGAGTTGAGAATGCCATTCAAGCTCTGCAACGGTTAAGTTATATGAATGAAAACTGTGTACATGATGAATCGTTCTGCCCCAGCCAGTCAGTAATTACAGAAGCTGAAGGTCGGCATCTTTCACTTTCACATGTATCCTCCCCCAACTGCTGGCACAGATCACTACACGAGGCCTCTGTACAAGGAAGTGACTTTAGCATTAGATCTGGTGCGCAAAAGCACATTCTTCGTCATCATCTGAGTTTGAATTCTAATCAGACTAAGCGCTAGATCTTTTCCGGTACTTGCTCTGTGCCAAGCTCAAGAGGAAGTCTGTGAAAATATGCTCATATTCTGGCATTTTCCCATACCCTGCAATAGCATAGAAACCTATTTAATAACCCAAATGATACCCCAAACAGAGTAGAAAACCAATGAGCGTGATGAAAATTCCTGATGTCAACGCAGAGCATTCTCAATCTTGTCTCTCCAAAGCAACCAAGAGAAATCGAAAAGAGCCATTTGCAGTCAAAAGTTGTTTAATTATGTGGAAGCTCATGTAAAGGCAACCAAACTAAAACGAGAGCCCATGATTTAAAATGCATCGGAATAGCCTATACCAACCAAAAAGAAATATAAGGTGCCAGGCACATAAGGACTTCCATTTCACATGAAAAAACCCATCTGCTAACAAGTCCCGATAAGTTCCTTGCACACTATTTGGTATGATACACTTAATCCAGTGGCAAGATTGAATGTCTTTTATCATATCACAGCTTCCTAAGGTGCTAAGACAGAGACTATGATCGCTACAGGAGCTTATTGGGAGCAAGAAGAACGGAGTAGTCCACGTGACTTGCCTGGAAAATAATTTATGTCAATGACATAATAATGATCTCTGGTTCCATGTTCTCGGATAATATCCAAGTTGAACAGCCGAAGACCCTAGACATGAATGAAAAGAAGAAAAACTATTAGTCTTGTGTATTTATTTAGGCACCAAGAGGTGTACCCAAATACATGAATATAAATTGGGATAAAAAAATTGATTACCAAGCGACGGCGAAGTTCTTTTGCAAATCTCTCGAGCAAAGGTCTCGGAGGAAGTTCTGCAAGGCCAAAACTGAGGTTATGTAAGGAAATTCAGAGAACACAAACCATGTCTCGAATAATTGTAAAGATCTCAACCAAGCTCAGCAATATATATAAAATCTGAAGAGCACAATCACAAACTGCATAAATCAACTCCACCAGAACAAAAAGAAATGAAGACACTAGAAAAAATTAAGTTGAGACCTCACTACCCATGATTTCAAAGAGCAAGAAACCACACAAGTCAATCCTGAAATTGTTATTCCAACCTATTTACAGAATTCCATTGCTGTCTCCACTTTATTCTGTTCCACTGGAAAAGCTATTCTATTTCTGCCTTGTTTCATTCCACTGACTAAATGTTGCTTAAATAAGAGCATAAACCCTTTATATAAGCTTGTGCAACCAATCATTTACAAGCACAAAAGGAGAACACCAACCTGCAACACTAGGGTCCAGATCTGCATCATCTGCAGAAGCTGCAGCGCAAGAAACCCTTGGAAAAGGGAATACCCCAGCACTTTTTGACAGCTCCTTCCTACTCACATCGGGCAAAGAGAACCGTCTCACAACCTTTATTGCTTCCCCAACAATGTATACCTTGAACATAACACCACCTGCAGATGAGGTCATGCGGCCACGTAAGTATCACAGTAACTACCACAAAAGATCAACAGGTTATCATACAGCTCACAAGCACGTACCATGATTGACAAACTCCTGAAGCACGAGGGGAGGTTCTAGTTTTTGGAGAGAGTATCTATCATAAGCAAGTGACAATTCATGGGATTTCGCACTTCCATCAGCCACCAGTGGTTTTGCAACTGAAACAAAGAGAAACAAATTCAGAAAAATTCCCTAGCAAAAGACCAACTCCTTGCAGTTTCTTGAAATCGACAATATTAAAGGACAAACTTTGATGGGGATATAAAGATGGTCACACAACCTTGACATTCAAATGCACACCTATAAATTCAGATCATATACTGTAAAAAGAATTATAATGGAGAACACTAGAAATCTTTGTTTGACAAAGTAGGAAATACCAAGAGGAAGCCTCAGCCCAGCTCCACTAACAGCATCAGGGATGGATGAAGCATCTCTTTTAACAACCAGCTGCCTAGGAACACCAACTTTGCCTACATATTAGATAGAGATATTGGTCAGCACCATAAAGTACCCATGAGAAACCAACCTTGAAGAAACATACGTCCATTCTCACAAAGAAAATGAAGAGTTTCCACGATTTTTTAACAACGAGAAAAACCAATTTATAGTACCATATGAATCAGAAAAATTCATATCAGCAACTTCTTGAAGCATATACTGGCGATTATGCAAGTGTTGTATGGCATCTGGAGGATCAAGTACAGTGACTTCGGGGTGTGATTGCCGGTAATCCTGCAATTTAGATGTACGCTGTGAGAATACAATTATTTATTTCACAATTCAAACGACAGAAGCACAACTGCAGCGGTGGAGAAGCAATGCACCACAATAAGTCGACCAAGTGAAGAGAAAGGACAATGGTACATTCAGCAAAACCTTTAATGAAAGTGACAACAGTCTGAGCTAGTCATTAACAATTTTACCTTAACTATGGTGTCAGAAAATTTAAAAACCTTTTCACGTCATGGGACCACATAAAGTCCCCTACTTATTCACCAAATTTGTGCCTGATTCAGTACTCCACACAAATGCTCCATTCTAACAAAAATAGTACATGGTCATTTCTCAGAGCACAAGCTTGAAATTGAAGATAGTTGACCTGAAAAATCGGCAGTACCGACATGGATAGATCACAACCTGGGTGTTAACCTCTAGAGAACTACTTTTTAAAATAGTAATTTGATGCATCCATGCACTATAAAGGTATCTTACAAACCCGATGAATATGTAGAGACATCGTCATATCAAACAGCACACATAGATTAAAAAAAATCAGAATTTGAACTTATTATATCTTACAAGATAGAGATGCTTAGAAGCTTAAAAAGACGATATACATCGAAAGAGGTAACACAATCCATCAAAAAGCAGCATTAAAGGGCAAGATTCCTTGATTAGGCTCCATCACCTTAATCAACAGTAAATCAAGTATATGCAGGTGGATGTTGAACAGTTTCCTAAAATTTTGTTTATCCATAAACAGTTTCCTAAAAATTTCGGGGATATAGGGCAAGATGGACAGAAGGCAATTAGATATGCAAGATATGTAGGACAAGGTCAGCTGCCAACTCAATCGTCTTATTTTTCCTTCAATTATTCTGGTGCATTCCTGAGAACGTTGAATCGATCATTTATACATCATACCACAAGTTTGAAAGAGAGACGCAAAAGCCCGTGTCCTACACAGACAAAAGTGCATATTCATCTGAAAACTAGAGCTAAAACTAATCAAATAAAAGGGGAGGTCATGAGCAGAGCATGTTCCCTGTCTATGCTACCAAATGACTACAGTTAGATAAGCAATGTGCTGACAGTGGAAAACACCGGCAAAAATGGACTCATTCAAAAGCATTTAATATCACCGCGCAAATACTGTTAGGAAAACCTAATGACTACAGTTAGATCAGCAATGTGCTGACAGTGGAAAACACCGGCAAAAATGGACTCATTCAAAAGCATTTAATATCATCATGCAATGACCGTTAGGAAAACCTGAACAAATCAGTTAGATGGCCATGGGAGTAGAAACATCCTCGCCGAATCCTGAGGCCTCGACCTCAACTATAAAGGCGTGATTCATGACGGACGAAAGAGCAAGCAAGTACTCTGCAAGTATGTCATACGCGTATGAGCTTCAGCAATAAAAACTAGATTGGTCACTGCGATTTGTCAGTGATCATTTGATTTCGCCACTCATATGTAGTAAATACAGACATCTACGCTAAATACGTGAAATGAGCACATAAAACAGCATCCTAACCAACCATTTATAGTGAAGATATTTAATCTAATTAACTTTGATGCTACTGACCTCGAGAATCTGGCGCCATTCCTTTCCTGACAGCTGAGGAAAAAAAGGGCAAAAAGTAACTGTCAGCTCAAGTCAGAATGCAGCATCCAATATGTGTGATTGTCCTATATGAGAATGTTGCAGAAGGAACGGAACCAGTGCATTGCCTTGAAGTGTCAGATTATATCCTTGTGTGTAATATGGGAATGAGATAGAAAGCAGAACTGTGCCTAAACTGTCGGCTCAAGTTTGAAAGCAGCCTCCATTATGTGTAATCGTGCTATATGAGATTGTCGCAGGAAAGTGCCAGATTACATCGTTTATTATACATCTGGCGTCCTTTGCTACTAAAAACTATGCATAAGGAAACAGTAATTACCGTCCACAGCATCAAAATCAAATCTGCATCAAAGCATGTGATATGGCATCAAAAAGGACTGTCTACCCAGAAAAAGAAAAGGACAATACACCTACCTTATGTAATACAATATCAAAAGGGCCTTGCTCAGAAAGAGGCCTATTCTGATCTATCGCGACAAATAATATTCCTTTGTTCCTGAATCGGAAAACAATTAAACTGGATCAGCAACATGTTCGCGAATATGAAACGGAACTACAACAATTTCCCAAAGAAAATGTAAAAGCGACAAATCTTCTATATACGACCACACAAGGTCGAAGAGACACGTATTACCGATAATTAACCAAAGCTACCGAAGAGACGCCTTACAGTTCATCCTAAATGCTTCAATAAGAGGCAAGGTAGACAAGCATATTCCAAGTTACCTAGTCACTCCAGCGCCAGCTTGAATCTAGAGTAGACCATCGACTAAAAGAACTGCCAAATTGCACATTCAAACAAAAAGGAACCCTTTCCAGACGCTAGTACTGGAAAAAAAAGAAAAAGAAAAAAGGCATCCTCCTTGGGAAGTTCCCATATTACCACCGATTCTTGCCAGCCAAATGAAAGTGACATGTGTGGTGGAAAAAGGGAAGGACACGCAATAACAAAGAAGACCAATCTGAAGAGCATTTACGAAACCAGATTCCAATTCCAAAATATCAAAAGAATCAGACTGTAGACAGTGATCCGCCCAAAACTGGTACCACCCACGAGCCCGGTCATCCTCCACTCAAACAGCCTAAACTTTCACGGTTCACGAAAACTACGAACGCCATGAACCCACCTCCATTCACTACCAGAAACGAAGAATTAGTGGTTTTTTTACTTCGCAAGGCATCAATTTTTCCCCTTTAATTTCCCCATCAAATCTTCAAGAGACAAGAACATCCGAACCCCAACGGGCAGGAACATATACACAGACATCACGGCCCGAAATTAAGACCGATCGGGTTGGGTTAAGTTTCAACAAAAAAGAAAAAGAAAGAGTCCATTACCGAGCTAAACCCTCAAGCTTAGGCTGCAAGAAGCTCTTGGTTTTCTTAGAAGTGAGAGCGTAACCCACCACCACCACCACCGATTTCCTCGGCGGGGGAGGGAACCCTAGCCCTAGGAAACACGCCTTCTCGTCTTCCTCGGGCTGCCGCGGCACGCTCTTCTCCTCCCGCGCGTACGCCGCCTCGTTCCGACCCAGCACCTCCTCTTTCAACAACATCCTCCGACTCCTCCTCTCCTCTCCTTTCCTTTCCTTCCCTCCTCCCTTCGTCCCACGGCTCCCTTCTCGAAAACGCGAAACGCACACGCGCGCGCGCACACACACACAGAGAACAAAACCGAGCGCGGAGCCAAGCGAGACGAAGCGAAGCTTCGGGAGAGCGAGCGACGGGAGCTTTTGAGATCGATCAGAGAGACAGAGAGAGGGAGAGATGCGAGTATTTCGATGCGTGCCCTAGTCTCCAGATTTCGAGGGGAGGAGGGGCGGGGGGAGGGAGAGACACGAGACGGAGCTCGGTCAGTCCTTGGCGCAAATGGCGGAAATCGACGGGGCGTCGGTTACGCAGGGTCACGAGGGGCGACCACGACGACGACGAAGAAAGAAGAAGAAGAAGACGAGGAGGAAGAGAGAGCGAGGAGGGGTATTTATATATACACGGCCGTGGAGGTGGGCGCCACTTGGGTCCCTCCTTCTCTTACTGCTTTGTCTTGTTTTCTGCACGGGGCTTTTACACAAACGACGCGTTTTGTAATCCTGACGACGGGACCAGCCAGCCAGCCAGCCAGCCAGCCACCTGAGATTCAACTCGTTCCCCTGGGGGACCGGGATCGGTTGGTGACCGGTGAGCCTGGAAAGAGGGGGTGCCCACACGTCACGGCATGGCACCTCGCCCCTCCCCGTGATCTAACCACATTGGCCAGACGGGCTCCCGGTTCGCGTCTTTTGGGCCCATTCGGGCTCGAGAAGGCTCGGATCTGCCCGACTTTTGGTCGGAGCTCGAGTAGATCTGCCCAGACATTTTAACGCACCGTCTTGGGCAAGCCCCCCGCCTAAGAACCGTTCTACGCCGACGTGTGCTTGATTGGAAAGCACGACGTACTTAACCTCGAGCTTTGAGATACACGAGAAATAAATACGGTCCCTCGCTCAATACGGTAAAAACATATGATGAAGAAAGCAAAATAATCTCGGGATGACTAACTTTATCCCGAATCTATATTCGTAACTTTCGATCTGTCGCTCCTATCTTAACTATTATTTTATCCCTCTGATGCCAAATCTACCTGATTAAAGTTGTTGGGTACTCTCACTAAATGCTCACAGCCCATCACAGTAATATTTTAATACACAAATCTCACGCTAAATCTGATGGATATAAATCATCTCAAATATGTGATCACGACCTTAAAACTTGGCGATATCATAAGACATTTGTCTTCCTGCTATTACCCAAATTCAGTTTTAGTCCCTATACAATATCTCTAACGCATTTAGTCCCCTTGACTTATTTGGAATCACAATTTAATGACAAAATTCAACTTTCCTTATGAACGTGCAAGGAATACGATTAGTCAGCACCGACAAATCATCATATAGCGTCTACGTGTACGAGAGTCTAAAAAATCCGTACTTTGAATTCTCGTACTTTAGAGAATGTTCCATTTTAATCCTTGTACAGCTATGTGGCTATTGTTCCATTTTTAAATGATAAGTTTTGTCATTTTCCTCGCTAAACGGCTAGGTTCGACTCCTAGTTTTCGTAAACTTTCCTCGGGCCACCTGTATTAACTATTCGATTTACGTGAATCCGAGATTATTCGAGTACTTAAAAAGCCTCCTGAAACTTGTTATCGAGGGGGAAATAGATTGAAGGGCACCGTCATAATTCCAAAAATTTTATGGGTTTCAAATTGTTCAAACCAGGACAAATTATGCGCATCAATGAGCTGATCTCGATCTTCGAGAATAGTGGAGATCCAATTCATTCAAAGATTTTCAGATGCACCACCACCCGCCAGCATCACGGAGCAATAGCTATAGCTACAGGAGATGAGTGGATCCTAATTTGCTTTTGGCAAGTGTGGCACCTACCTTCCTTTAGTTACTCAAACGAACGTTCTAAGAAGACTTATAAAGAAAGACTCCACAGTGGCGACAAAATGATCAGATAGAGAGTCCCAAATCAATCTCTAGCCAATACTTTATTTAGGTAAATGGACCATTGGTGCTCGACACTATAAAAAAAAAATTTGTCAAATTGGCCCACATCTGGAGAGGAGAGAGGAAGCTCTTCTTGGGACATTTATCCGATAATCTTCATGACCCTCGAGCGGTCGATCCATGTCGTAATAACATATCGTGCCGCACCGATTTGAACCGGTGGAGGGAAGCGAATCCCGGTTGCCAAATGTGGATGCGATCGATAACCAGGCTAGGGTGGCTCATGTGTTTATCGAAAGTGCGTCGTATACTCGGGGTGGAAGGACGAGTTGGTCCGGAAACCGGGTATGTGCGTCCGCGATCGAACCGTCTGGATAAGGATTGCGCATTAGAACTTTCCCGAATCATTCATGATATTTTTTTTTAGTATTTTATATGATCCAACTTATGAAATTGCATAAAAGGTATGTAGAACGTGCTGGCTATTGTTCTAAGGTGGTGGGAGTTATGAGCTTTCTGTCTCCTGGCTCATACCTCACGAAGAACAGTGTCCATGGCGATGTTGAGGTCCACATGATGGGTCCAGGTTGCGTTCAAATCCTAATCTTGGTCCAGATGGACATGCTCGGCCAGAGGCTAGGGCACCTGCTTGTAATTGTGTCGAAATTATATCTTAGGTTATAATGTTTGTCATGTAGTATTCTAAGAAAATAAGAGCATGTACATTCACAACCGAACATATACATAGAACATTGCACGACATACTCGCGTACGCCGTATGTAGATTTCCCGAAAGTGTGTTCACGACTAGAGTTCAAGATTAGATTACCAACATAGGACACGCTTGTGGAGGTACACTTCCGTGGCAACACAACTCATCGGAATCGATTCCAAGTCGCCGGAGGCGAGCCATAGTCCATTCCTATTGCGAATTGTCTTGTCGCCAGCTAAGATAATGGTGGAGCAGGCAACACTGCAAGAAGTTACGTGCAGGCATTCGGCGGTGGCGGCGACGGTGGGATCGTCGGTCGACCGCGAGGCTAATTTGAGCGGTGGAACTAGGGCTACGATAACCCGTCCGCGTCGCGAGATGCCTCCGCCGTTTAGTAGATACGAGAGAGCGGAATTTTCATAATGGCACGTATTGCTAGCTCCTATTAGCTTCCATCATTCCTTCACCGCCGCACTCGACGAATTTACAAGCTTCGAGCATCGGACAATATGGCTGCTTTCGTGCTCTTTAATAATTCCAACTTTCAGACTAGTTGCACCAACAAGTTTAAAGAAGTATATATATATATATAACCAAAGAAGTATATTCATTACTATATATATATATATATATAACCAAAGAAGTATATTCATTACTACAAGATTCTAAAACCAATCTTATAAAATGCTGACTCTAACCTTTATTCTTGTCCTAGACCCTAGACCCTTATGAGATAGATTTTGGCCCCACCACTTTCCCTAAAAATAAACTTTTGAAAAAAGAGAATTCTTTTTTATTTGATGTGGTGTCACGCACTATATAGATTGAATTTGGGTTGACAATGGAAATATTATTCTATGCATCATAAACTTATCATATAAATGTTAATTCGGTCATAAATTTTTGCGTGAAAATCTAATATAATTATTCCATTCAATTTTCACCGAACATTGCTGACGTGGTGGTCCGGTCATCGTCGGCCCTTCTATGCGACACGCGCCACAATAACGATTTTCGGCAAAAATTAGCCGGAATGGCTACATTGAAATTTTAGTCGAATGTTTATGATTAAATTGGTAAATTTGGAAAGATTAAAATTGAATTGACATCCGTACAATAGGTTTATGACTGATTGGACAATTTCCTTGATTAACAAAGTATCTGGATTCTGAATCAATTGGATACCCAGTAAATTTCATTTTTCTTTCTATAGAAAATTATCGTATAATCGGGTTTTGATTTTTTTATTTGATTTTACCTTGAAATGATTTTTGCCACTCTAAGCACACAATCCTGAAGAGTAGGGTAACGGGCGTGTAAAGGTAGATGAGTTTGGATTTTTTTTTGGGGTCTCCTTGTCAACAAAAGTGTCCTATTAACAAGCAGCCACAAGAACTAAAAGGACAAAAAAAGAAAAAGAAGAAGTGATACTCCCTGCGAAAAGGTAGATGAGTTTCCTCAATTGTTGCACCAAAGATCATCCGCATTAGGTATTGCTCGACGTGCCGGGTCGGCGCTGCAAAAATCTGATAACTTTCATATGAGAAGATTGTCAAAAAAAGAGTTCAAATCCCAACGTGTCAATATCTAGTTAAACTCATATTTACTCGGAAAATTAAGTTCGTGAGTTATAGACCAATTATAAATTAGTAATCGGTCCACCCCACGTCACATTTCCAATTGCGTCGCTTCTTTCGCCCAATACCCCCACACGTGCACTTCAACAAAATTGATGATATCTTATCGACGGTGGTCAGCACCGGCCGTGAATTGAGCAATCGAGCGGAACTTAATTGACACGACAATGGCTCGGCTCGGCACATTTGAACTGCGTGAATGTGAGCAACCTCTTATGCAAATAAGGTCCACCCGTTGCGAGTGACCACAGACACGACCTTAAGC